CCTGCTTCATCAAAGCCTATCCCTACCAGTGACAGTTGGTAATTTTAGTGCTTCTCGCAAGGTAGCCATATATGAGAGAGAGTGCAGAGGGGCATGACTTGAGCAGCTCATCAGATGGTGGATTACTTTCAATTAGGAGAATTTCTTTGTACTGAAGCCAAGAGAGGATTACTTTGTTGCCCCTAATGGTTCAAGAACAGGAAAGCTCCAGAGACTGCTACAGCTGCTGTTGGTTCTCGAGTCCTTGTCACTGTTGTTTGTTCTGGTCATGAGTGCAGTGACAGTGCCTCCTGTGTTTTTTGTTTAATTAGAAATATGACCTACATGTATTTTGTAGTAGTAGGGGCACCTGATTTTCTATGGGTTTTGGTGTATTTAGAGCGGTTTTTAGAGGACTGGGCATTTTGTCTTACATCTTTTACTGCCCATCTTAGCAAAAATAACTGTGCTACTTGTTCTCAAAGCCCCTAGTCATCCTCCTTCCAAAGTCAATTGAAAGCATTTGTCTGAAATATTATTCCCATCCGTGCAACACATCTAAGGGAAAAAGGCTAGCAAGTCCTCTCTGACTGCAAATTCATCACTTAACTGCAATTAATTTTCAATGCCTTAACCTTCTCTCCAAGCTTAGTCTCTTTAATCAAGGACAAAAATCATGCTGATCTTCTTTCTTCACTTAGCCCCTTCTTTATCAGTAGTTTTTAAAGGTCCTTGTTAGTTCAGTCAAAAATGGTTCCAGTGATGGGCTTTCCACCACTTCCATGGGTGGATTATTCTGGTTGCTAGTGAGGCTTTTGTAATAGTCTGCATTTTCCTTTTCTTACTCTGACTCCTCATGCTCATTTTAGTTCAAAGTTCATGTTGTTTTCTGTATTTCACAATGATGCAGAACCATAGACAATGCCTCTTCATTTTGCAGTTAGGCAGCTGAGGTAGGATGGAAGATGATGCTCAAACTGATAGAACTTGATGAAGAGCCTTCCACTGGGATTCGCTCCTTTCTGGGTCTGACACAGTTAATTGATCTTCCGAATATGCTGCAACATCTTTTTATTCACACAGGCTTTCTTGAGGGGATGGTGTAGGTCTCAGTATTTCATTAGGGAGGGTTCTTTTAGTGGCATTGTTAAAATGTCAACTGGAAAATAGTATAGGTATGTTTTATTGTTATAATTGATGCACTCAATGATCCTGTAATAAATGTGCTATATAAATCATGTAGATAAGTAATATTTAATGGAGGGAATAAATGTCAATCAATGTATATAATTACAGTTGAGGTAAATACTTCCATGGAAATTGGTGGATATATGTCATATTACAGCAGATGAGGATCTGGTCTATCAACCTATGTGACTTTGCTGTCAGGCTAAGTGAAATAGGCTAATCCTCCTGTTCTTGCCCTGCATTGCATTTCTCATAATCTGTGCACACGTTAGGGATATTAAAATTTCTATTAATTAACTAACTGAATGGTTGATGGGATTGCTGCTGGGGCTCTTGTACGTTTCAAAGTGGAAGCGCCTGCGTGGAGCCCAGGATCAGGGGACTCCCTGCTGGCCCCAGGCTCCATCCAGCGCTTCTGCTTTGAAATGTACAAAAATCCAGCAGGGAGTCTTAGACATTTCAAAGTTGGAATGCCATCCCTGCGCCCCTGCCTTCTCCCATGGAGCTGGAGCTGGGGGGAACCAGCTTTTAAGCCAGCTCTCCCCAGTGCCCTTTTATCCTCTTCCCCGCCCTGCTGCCTCTTTCTGATAGAGGCAGCAAGTGAGGGAAGTGACTAGTCAACTAGTGTGTTGACTATTGGATTAATTGCTTACATCCCTAGCACAAATCCCATTGAACAGTGATTTCCCAAGGAGTGCTAATAGATTTAGTCAAAACAACTTTATTCAGTAAATTGTGTTAATGTAATCTGAGCGTATGTGTATTATTTAGAAAATAATGGCGCTTTCAGACATCCACTTAAATATACCTGAAGAATTACTAGGAGATTGATAAGTATCAGAGGCTCACTTTTAGAAGGACTCTGCCTCGCAATATTTATTATTTTGACTTTCTTCTTAACACAAATAAGACTTAGATACCTTTCGTGACTGGTGACAAAGTAGAGCTCTTGTCCTTGGTCATATTTACTAAATAGCATTTGCATAATATTGTGTTTCAGCTCACATGAAGAGCTATTTTTTTATTCACAAAGCAGTGGTTGAAAAGTTCATGATATAACCATCCTTTCTCCACTCATATTCCCACTCTTCTCTCACATATAAACACCTATACATCACTCTTCACTTGGTTCTAATCCCTTCTCCATAGTCTGAAATTGCACTTGTTGAAATCAGCATGAGATGACACAGCTGAAAGTTCCCAAACACAGAATAGTGTTGAAATGTTAATAAGCAATCTAAGAATTGCTTCTTGTGAGGTGGCTTTTCTCAGGTAAGGTTTCATTCTTTTAGAATGACTTCTGAGGCTGGTGGTAGCAGCTTCTTCCTTGCAAGTCATCCTGATTTCCTTTATTGGTTTCATAATGCACAAATAAACCCTTCTGGATTTTTTCACTTTCACTGAGGACATCATATTTAAAGAGCATCTTCCCTTTTATCGCTCCTCCAGGCAGTCCCTCTACTTTCTCTTGGCATTTTCTTTTTATGGTTTCTAACCTTAGTGGTAATGATTAGAATTTAAGATCTAATGCACTTGGTATATAAATGTTGAAATGCAGACACTAGAATACTACAGCATACTAGTGTTACTGTGATATTTGAGTTCACTGTTACAGATACAGAATTTTGTATCTGGAAACTTAAGCTCAGAGTGAGGTAGTTGGCTGAGTTAGATTGTTGAATTTTGTACCATATTGATCTGTTGGAGAGCATATTATACTAGCAATTGTTGGCCCTTTACTCATACTCCTAGGGGAAATTGCTATTGTGCTGTCTCCCCTTGCTTCCAAACACAGATCTTGGCCCACATATATTTAAGTAGGAGAGACTCAAGCTGAGTCAGAGATGCAACCACATCTTTATTATTATTATTATTATTATTTAAAGTGTACCTTGAAGGGAGGTTTTTTTTTTTTTTTTTTTCAATTTTCAGCTTTTTTTTTTTGAGAGTGAAAAGTTTCAGGGATGGGTCCTCCAAATAATTCTACTAAGGAGATCAGATTACAAGCACTCTTGAAATCATGACTTTCTAGAATGGGTAAGACACCCTCCACCCCTTTGCAAAGGATATTAATTAGTTAAACTTGAAACCAGGGATAAATTATGAGAAGGTGTTAGTTGGACTTGCAGGTCTCTGTTTAAGTAGGCTTTTGTCAAACTTTTTCAGCTTTGGTTTACGTGGTTTTGCAGCCCTTGACTTTTGCTTTAAGTTTCATATTCCTTCAGAACCCAGCATAGCAAAAGCAAAAATAAAAATGAAATGGATGAGCATTGCTCCACTCTGTACATAGTTAAGAGAACTGCAAAGGTTCTCTGGTCCCTGGCCTTCTAGACCTGTTGATATGACAAGTTGAACGATAGGGTTAGATACGATGTAATATGGCATGGAGAGGGGAAATCAGTTAGTGATGCAGGGGCAGGAAATTCAAGCAAAATAAAATTGATATGAAAGCGTGGCTCTTCTTTTTTGTCACCTGATTTACAATGGGATAAGCAAGCATTAAAGCTTGTTTTCATTTGTGGAACCAGTCTGCCAAAGTACATTGGAAACTAGCTTTGTCTTATTGCTGGACAGCTATACTCTGTGTCACAAATCATATCACTTTTCAACAGGATGGCTGCTATGAAGAAAGGGATCAAATACCAATCCCTAGTGAAAATGCTTTATACCTCTTAGAACTTCTGGATTGCTGGACTGAGCAAAATGGGTGGAGTTTTTCCTTTAAATAGCATTGCTAGAGAGATTGTTGATGCAGTTGTGATGACATTAGAGTGTTGCTAAGGCATTAGGAAGCCGGTGCTGACATGTCACTGATTGGTGGTATGCTCTGTATGCATGTTAAGGAAAACAGATCATATATTTTAGCTACCTTGTGTTTTAACTTCTTCAGAGGAATTAGATGTTGGTCATAGATGCCCAGGTGTCTGTCATGTAGTGAGAGAGGACAAAGGTTTTACTTTTGAGTTGTGGTGTGAGCCTTTTTTTCATATATGCTCTTTCATGTTTTGGCTTCAGTTCAGAGGACGTCTATGAAAGGGTGGGAATGGCTAACATCACGATGTTAACCACATGTACTCAGACTGCCAGAGCTGGCCCTGAAGCAGACTTTGAAACTCCCAAGTTGAAGAAAGTAATGTAACTGAGAACAGCAAAAGCTTACTGGAGTACTACTGAGGACACACATTTCAGGAGGGAGAGGTTGCAGAAATGCAATTGAGTGACTTTCTTTGATTCTCACTCTGTTCATAAGTGCTTTTTGCAGTGATTTCTTATATTTAGGAGTATCCTACTGTACTGTAGAGAGACAGTGGTCTGAGTTGCATTTCTCTGCTTCAAGCATTACAAGACCTATTGGATTTTGTTTTCCAGTCCCTTCTCTGACTTGTTCTATGACCTTAGGCATGTCACTTAACCTTTTTGTGCTTGTTTCCTCATTGATTCAATAAGGATAATACATTACAACAAGTATCAGAGGGGTAGCTGTGTTAGTCTGGATCTGCAAAAGCAGGACTCTTCGTCACATTACAACAAGAGTTTCACAAGGCCTGTTTTTGAGATTGGGGGGTGAAAGATGCTATGTAACAGTCAAATATTACCCATCAACACCTATGTTGAAACATTTCAAAATGGAAACATCTCAAAGCACAGCATTCCTGAAGCATTATAGAATGGGAAAGTTGCAAAGAGAGATATTTAATGCTGCCAGCAACTTTTAGATTCTATTAAACAATAGTCTGCAACAGACTTATGTTCCATCCTGTATGCAAATTGAACATTGTTGAACTGTGTTACCACAAGACCTCTATATTTGATACTATATTTCTTTCTCACAGATTCTGCCTGGCTTGTTCCTTGGCAACTTTAAAGGTAAGATTAGTTTTATGGTTACAATTTAGGATTACTTAAAAGTCTAAAAAGGTGTTGGGTCATATGCCATATGGTATTTGCTAAAATCTGTGAAAGTTCTTTATCCCCATTTTGCTTAATTTCTGAATCTACCTGCTAGTATTAAAAACAAAAAAATCTGTTTTCTCTGTCATCTGAATACTGCAATGCACAACTGGTTAAAAATGCACACACTTTCCTGGGATCATGCTTCACCTAGAATTCCCAAATGTTGGCCTGTGTTGTAAATTGATCTTACACTTTGCAGACTGGCCTGTAAGCCATGCCATTTTTTGCAACCTCTCCTCAGTATTAATGCCTTAATCTGCTTCCAGTTCATTTGTTGCTCTCATTATTATAGTTATTTATCAGAACCTTTCAGGAGCCCTATTCTAAATATTGGTGAAACTGACAGATAAAGAGTTTGATGCCTGAGTACCAGTATGCAGTGTCCATATTGTAGATGCAAACCTGTTCTCCTCTGCACGGTTAAGGCTGAGATTTTCAAAAATAGTAACATAAAGTTGTGTCTTAGCTCTTTCTCTCTTGAACGTGCATACACACACACACACACACACACACACACACACAAATATGAATATGCCTGTTTAAAAAGTACTGGGCATCTAGTAGCTCCCACGGACTATAATTATTAAATATTTGGTACAGGAGCCTTTGTTCAGTACATGTGTGTACAGAGCCTAGCACAGAGGTACCGCAGTTCCAGCTTGGGGTCTCTAGGTGCTATTTCAGTGCCACACATAAAGACTGGCAAAATCTACCTAAAGCTGTGCTTAATTGTGAGCAGCAAGAGTGTTGCTGAGGGGAGACCACACATGCCTCCATATACCTGGTCTGCTCACATGATTGTACAAGGTCTATTCCTCATATTTAGGTGATGCAGCACCAACATTTTCCCCCCTCCCACTTCCTCCTGTGAAGTATCTGGTAACAGAAACCTGCAGCAGTATACTGGCACGGGCTATCTTGTCTGTATCTGATTGTGCCACCCTTTGCTGCTGGGGAGCTGAGCTTGCAGGGTCCACTTCCTGCAGACCCATCCCCATATATTTGTTTTCCCCCCCTTTCTGTGTGTAGAGTATCTTCAGAATGAGTCTGGAAGTGCAGGATGAATTAGAGGGGTATTCCCGTGCCAGGTAGAAAACATGAGGGAGGAGTGAAGGGAAGTTGGTGGTGTCAGCTGTATGAGGGATGGGCGGAGGGGAAGGAAAGGAGAGTGCAAACAATGACAAGTTTGTGAGGGGATACAGGGACTGGAAACAAAGAAGATAACAGAAATTGGAATGTCTGGGGTGGGGAGAATAAGGAGGGAGAAACCCAGAGTCAATACATCTTTCGAGTTGGGACAGAGCTGATCTTGGCCTCATTGCTTGATGAAACAAAGTGGGAGTCGTCTAGATGGTGTCTCGCAGTTGCTGTCAAACTGCTTCAGTTTTTCAAAATGCAGTGGGGGAAGGGTGCTGGAGTTGCCCACAGCGCATGGTGCGTGATTCTGTGAAACTGGCCTTGTCGTCATGCCAGCCGTGGTGGTGGCAAAACTTTTAATAGCACTCCCAAGAGAGTGAAACTCAGACCCAGCATCTGTTTCTCAGTGTGGTACTGTTTTCACCCACTGAGTGAGTGAGGCAAGGCAAGATGGAGAGTAGGCCAAGGTTACAGAGTGAGTCAGCAACTCAGCCCAGATTAGATTTTAGAGCCCTTCTGGCTTGTCTTGCTATAGCCAGTCATTGATGTGCCTTGCAAATGGCCTATAAATGGCATGCCAAATAACTTAGCATGATAAAAATGTGGGGTTGATTGGCGGGGAGGGGAGGAGTGAGTAGTATTGGGATCCAGTTACAAATAAATGAATCTGAAGTGCTGCAATTGTTTCATATTGGGGGTGGGGGAACATCAGTGCCAATGTGTATGTCGCTGTTTTTGTTAGTAATAAGTTTTTTTTTAAAAAGTGGTCTTTTGCTTACATAATATTTAATATTCTCTATCATTGTGACATCATGTCAGTAGGTAATTGATCTCTGAGGTAGTTACATCTCTGGAGCAGAGACAGTTGTTGTTAAAGCATTTTATTAATTAAAGAGACAAGCTTTCAAGCCACACAGAGTTCTTTGGACACCATACCTTTGCCAGATGTGAAGAAAAGCTCTGTGTAAGCTCAAAAACGTCTCTCTTTCACTACCAGAAGTTGGTCTAAGATATTACCCCATCTACTTTGTCTCTAGTGTCCTGTACCACCTGGGATATAGCAACACTTCATTTATTTAAGTTGTTAATCTTTGAATTTCTAACAAAAATAAATTCGAGTCTAATAATCCTAATAACCACACTGACAGACTGCTGATGTTGCAAAGCAATACAGTGCTGTTGAAACTATGCAAATATAAGCTTGCCACTATAAAAATTCCCAGAGGAATTTGATTACTGAGTTCTTCTGCAAGTTTTCTGATCTACTTCACATGTGGTGTACAAACGAGAGGACAGCACTTTGAAAAGTGAATTGTGATTGAGATGTAGGACTTGAGAGAGACCTATATTCAGAGAGTTGGTGCTCGGTGCTTTCTGACAATCAAGTCCTTTGTCCCAAACTGGGCATTCAAAATTACTAGTCATGTTTGAAAATCTTTAGTTTTATGCTGAGACAGCTTGGATTTTGCAAGTGATTTTTTTTTTAAGTATAAATGTGATACAACAGATAACACCTTGAACTGTGATTTTTATCACCTTTCACAAGCTGAGCAGTGCTGTGCTATGCAAGTAATTGCACGAGAAAGCTCTGGAAACTGTGATGGTATGGGAAGTGATATGTGTGATTCAAGCAGGTGGTTCCCTGCCTTCTCAATCAGAAGCAGTGCAGTACTCCGGCAGGATGTTAGGGTACTGTGCTTCTGGAAGTTCCATTATTTGGAAGGGACAATGGATACTCCGACCAAGGGGGTTTTTACCAGAATAACAATCATACTTTGTAGTTAAGCCTCCAATTGTCTGTCTGAGAAACCGCTTTAGACTGATTTCATGTGTGGGTAAACAGAGGGTGTGGGTAATCCGTTCCTACACCCTATCGCTCTCCGAGATCCACTAACCCCCAACCCACTCTTGCTCTCTCCTTCCCTCCCGCTCCTACCCTATACCCCAAGCCTGGTTCCTGGCAGCTCCCTCCCACACACTGAACTCCTCATTTTTGGCCTCATGCCGGAGCATAGGGGGCCCACAAAATCTACTAGCCCGGGCCTCCCTAAGCTCTGGTGTGCAAGGGAAATGTGTGTAGGGGTTTTTTTGCTTCTCGCTTTTATGTGCCCTCCCAACTGATTTTTCTATGTCAGCAGCCCCCAACCCAAAAGAGAGACCCTACCCCTATTTTATAGCATCTTGGAATCCTTTGGAATGGTAAGTTTTATATGGTACTGATTCAGGAAATCACTGAAGTCTGTAGGACTTGAAGTATGTGCTTACAAGTGTTTTCTTGAATTGGGACTTTAGCTGAAAGTTAAAATTGAATTGCATTCCTAAGCTACAAAGCGTTTAGGAGCATGTACATCCACAGAGCGGAGCAGTTCAAGCAGAAGAACGACCTTCCTTACAAAGGAAAAGGAAAAGTTCACCTTTAAAATCCAGAAAAAAATTAGTCTTACAGATTGATTATCTCTTCTGGGTGTTCTTTTATTCAGGAGCAAAATATTGCCCCGAGTAAATGCCATGGTATTGGTAGCTTGGTAAAAAAGGTGGGGGTTGAGGGGCTGAAGGTGGGAAGAAGCCTTCTTCAAATAGTGTTACCTCCCTTGGCAAGAGCTTCTTAAAGTTCAAAACTCTCAGTCAATGGCTG